CCCCCCCCCCCCAGTTAGATACTTTTAGTACTTCAACTTGAAGTTGCAGAGAGACAATATTTCTATCAAATATTTATATTTTATTTCGTTTTAACTATAATAATCCCTATCATCAGCTCACAAATTCCAATAATGAGGACATAATGATGTTTACGTTTTTATAGAGATAAACCACTTTTTCAAATTAAAATCATAAGATCATCACAGATTTGCATTAATAGCTGTGTTTACCAATAATAGTAATGTGAATGTTGTGCTGTGACAGTTGTGTGGCAACTTTAACCTACATACTCAATGCTCTTGTAAGTGAAGTTTTTGTCAAGGCCGCCACACAGAGATGCAAACCACACAGGGTTAAATTATTCAAAGATGCTTCCAGGCATCATAGATAAATGAAGATTATCTTAAAACCAAGCAAAAAATAGCAATTAATCATCCCAAAAATGAAATTTTACATGCCCACTATACTCTACCTTGCCGGAAGTCTCAATATGTGCTTCAAAATAACGCTTTGAACAGCTGAAATCCTACAGCTAAAGATAAGGCAACTGAAACACTATGTTATCTGCTTTTGACAAGCTTTCTCTTATCACCAGCTGCTTCTTTCAGACTAGAAAAGCTTTAGCAAACAGTCTAAGGAAAAACACCGGATTCTGAATGATATCCAAGAAAATGATTAATAGAGACCTGAATTTCACAAGAGTTTTACACTACTTTAGTTGATGTGAACATGTCATGCCAGTTAGTCTAACTGAGACTATAACAAATACTTGGACAACAATAACGCCTTACATTCAAGCAGAGCTTTAAATACTATGTTTACTGGAATAACGTCACATCGCAGAACACTGATGAAATACTGTGGTTAAATCACTCATCCAGATTACACTTTAGTTCTTGTTTCTTCTTCTTCTTTATGTTTTTTTTAGTAAAATCATAAGATGTCATGATGTGTCATGTATGATAACACGGATGTGACAAAAGTGGTCACTGAGCTATAAGAGAGGTTTTACTTGATGTTTACTCCTCTTAAAGAAACAGTTCACCCAAAAATGAAAAATGAATTTACAGTGAATGGGTGCCATCAGAATGAGACATCACAAGTAATCCACACCACTCCAGTCCATCAATTAACGTCTTGTGAAGTAAAAAGCTGTGTGTTTGTAAGAAACAAATCCATCAGTAGGGCATTTTAACTTTAAAACGTTGCTTCTTGCCAAGTCCATAATCCATAATAATGCTTAACAATGGAAAAGCCCATCCCCTGTTGTCCTCTCACATCAAAATCCATCGACATATTTGTTTATAACAGTTTTGGACTGTTTTCACTTGTAAACGGTGCTTGATCTGTGCATATTTCTCTCCTGATTCAGACAAGATGACTGGATAGAGGACTCGTATTTACAGTTTGATGTTAAAAGTGTCTTCACTATGTTTTTTTTTTTATTATTACAAACATGCTTCATAAGATGTTAATTGATGGACTGGAGTGGTGTGGATTGCTTGTGGATTATTGTGATGTTTTTATCAGCGGTTTGGACTCTCATTCTGACGGCACCCATTCACTGCAAAGGATCCATTGGTGAGCAAGTGATGTTATTCAAAATTTCTCCAAATGTGTTCTGATGAAGAAACAAACTCACAACCTGAAGTTGTCAGTGAATTTTCATTTTTGAGTGAACTATTCTTTTAATACTGATCTACAATGAGTAAAACAGAACTATTATGATCAATAATCACTCACAACATCTGTACGAGTCGGTTCTGGTGCCTCTGTGACTGTAATCATGGGTCCTGAGCACCAGGCCACCAGTGCTGGTTTCTGAGCTGTTGGGTTGCAGTTCTGCACTGGATTGGAGACCCGGAGATCATTTTGTGGGTTCGGATGAACCAGCTTGATTGATTCTCCTCTCTTTCCACCGCCAGACTCTCGCTCTTGCATTTGCTGTCTATACTTCTTCTTGAGGATGAGATATTTCTCTCCCTGAAATGAAAAAGGAACCATTACATTCATTCTGTTATTTGAAAAAATATAGACAAAATATGAAAATCAGGAAGGGGGCCAACACTTTTTCACACCACTGTAGATTCATTAAATTGATCAAAAGTGACATTAAAGATACGTAAGAAAGATTTCTATTTCTATCTAAATAAACAGAAGACTGGAGTAATGATGCTGAAAATTCAGCTTTGCATCACAGGAATAAATTACATTTGAAAATATTCAAATAGAAAACAGTTATTTGAAATTGTAATATTATTTCTCAATATTTCACTGTACTTTTGATCAAATAAATGCTCTCTTTGGGAGTATATGAGATACCCTTCAAAAACCTTAAAAGTCTGACCCCAAACTTATGAATGGTAGTGTATGGCCGGAAAACAATGGATTACAGTTTCAGAACAGACTGAAAGTGATCACATCCGAGGGAAAGTACACATGTGGGACAATGATCCAAGATCGTAAGGGTGTGGTGTATAGCATTAACGTGAGAAAGTGAAGCTTATCCCAGTCACAGAGTAAATAATGAATCACTGTGGGAATAGAGTCCTCTGCGACTATTCTTCAGGGACAGGGAATAAAATGTGATCGTATTACACATGCAAAAATGCTCTAATGATTATATAATCAGACTGAGGGAGGAGTTGATTAGTTTAAACTGCAATAATGATTAGACAACACATGTACTCACATTCTCAGATTTCACCACCGCAATTCGATCAATGATGAGTTTGAACTCTTCTCTGTATTTGGCTAGAGGGAAAAAAAGAGATTAAAGTGTCATAAGTATGTGCTTGCAAATATTTTTCCCCAGCATGTTTTCCAAATTTATCTTAGGAGATTTATCTTGCATTCGTTCTTTCCTTTGTAAATCTAAACTCAGCATCAGAAGAAAACCCAAAGGATGCCAGAGGCTAGAATTAAAACCTGTACGGCTTTCTTTTGTGAAACACAAAATCAGTTACATTTTGTAATTACACTTTTTTTCTTTTGTGTTCCCCTGAAAAACGAAAGTCACACAGGATTGGATGGTGATGAGGGTGAGTAAAAGATGACAGAATTAGCATAGCTTTAAAGGAATAGTTCACCCAAAACTGAACATTTGCTGAAAATGTACTCATCCTCAGATCATCCAAGATGTAGTTGAGTTTGTTTTTGTTTTCCATCGCAACAGATTTGAAATTTAGTATTACATTGTTTGCTCACCAATGGATCCTCTACAGTGAATGGGTGCCGTCAGAATCCAAACAGCTGATAAAAACATCAGAATAATCCACAAGTAATCCACATGACTACAGTTCATCAATTAACGTCTAGTGAAGTAAAAAGCTCCACATTTGTAAAAAAAAAAAAAAAAAATCCACAGTTTCAGTTTTTTATCTTTAAACCGTCACTTCTGGGCAAAATACTAGTCCATAATCAATGATGCTTCCTCCAGTGAAAAAGTCCATCTCTTGTTGTCCTCTCACATTAAAATCCACCAACATATTTGTTTAGAACTGTTTTGGACTGTTTTTGCTTGCAAATGGTGCTTGATCTGCATATTTCTCTCCTGTTTCAGACAACTTCTTCACTGGAGAAAGCAAAATTATGGATAGAGGACTAACTGGAAGCAAAGGTTTGATGTTAAAAACACATTAATGATGGATTTGTTTCTTACAATCACGTATCTTTTCACTTGACAAGATTTTAATTTATGGACTGGAGTGGTGTGGATTACTTGTGGATTGTTGTGATGTTTTTATAAGCTGTTTGGACTCTCATTCTGATGGCACCCATTCACTGCAGAGGGTCCATTAGTGATCAAGTGATGTAATACTACATTTCTTCAAATCTGTTGCGGTGAAATAAACTCATCTACATCTTGGATGGCCTGAGAGTACATTTTCAGCACATGTTAATTTTTGGGCGAACTACTTCTTTAAAAACAACATTTCCTGATTTGTGATTGAAAACAAACCTTGAACACTGGTTTATTGATTGATTTGTTCTGTCTGCATGTTTTTGACTGGAAAGATTAGTAGTGTAACGTTTGGCACAAACACTGGACTCTGATTCCTGGCCTGTGGGAGTTTGTGATGTTATGCAACATCACTTTAGCACAGACTGACTGCAGCAGGGAGAAACCAGAAACTGGCTCGAATTACTATACAAGAATAGAAAATGATTAAATGACAGAGAGGGACGAGAGCTGCACAAACAAATCCATCATTACTGCTGTGCTCATATGCCTTTTCAACAACCATTCCCAATGGGTCATCATCCCTCAGATGCCCCCAGCACTGGTTTGTAGTTTTATTTAGATCCCAAGAAGATATTTTCCTTCTTCAATTTCATTCCATCCCTCTAAGTAGAATATAGTTTCCCTTTATTTGTTGCACAACAAGTAAGAACACCTATGGTGTAATGAGCTTTGACATGAGTTCTCTCATGGAGTTCATTAAAAGATTCATCCGACTGATTCAAATAAGTCATTAACGAGTCATTAAAAGAACCAACTCTTAAGAGTAATTTGCTCATGAACCAGACTACACAGGTGGTGCTGCCGATATACTGATATATAATAATTAGTGCTGTAAAACGATTAATTGCGATTAATCGCATCCAAAATAAACGCTTTTTTTTTTTTTTTACATAATATATGTGTGTATACTGTATATATTTATTATGTATATATAAATACAAACACATGCATGTATATATTTAAGAAAAATATGTTATGTTTATATATTAAATATATTTGTATATACTATCAAATATAATATAAATATATAAATGTATACACATGTAAAAATTTTCAAAATATATACTGTATGTGTGTGTATTTATATATACATAATAAATATACACAGTACACATACATATATGTAAACAAACACTTTTATTTTGGATGCGATTAATCACGATTAATCGTTTGACAGCACTAAAAATTTAGTTTTTTTTTCACTGCAAGTCATTTTTTTTAATTATTGATGATATTATGAACAAATAATTTTATTGCTGATGAACCATATGAACAGAGTGACATGGCGAGCTTTGACATGGAACTTGCCATTCATTAAGTGAATCGTATGCTGATTCAGTAGACGCTCTGATGGCATACATTAAGTAAAAGATTCACCAGACTGATCCAATGAATTTGAGAACATACACGTTTCATATTTCTGACATGGCATGACGGTATCGTTCTTGCATTTTGCCCGAACCGCATACTTCCCTTCTGCAGTGATTCACAACCCACAATTTGAAAACCGCTGCTCTAGTTGTAACTCTACATGGTCCTGTTTACTTTTTATATCACACAAAGGCTTCTGTTTGCAGAAGCTGTTTTACTCTATCCTGGCTATATTTTCTGTGGAATAGTTATTTTGTTGCCACGGCAACGGACACATTCAATGCTAGACTGTGAGTCACTTTGTTGAAGGTCATCATGTAAACTTATTCTGAAGTATTCATCTTTCAAATGAACATATATATACATATATACATATACATATATACATATATATATATACATATATACATATACATATATATATACATATACATATATATATATATATATATTATAACATATTTTGTGCATAGCATATAGTCTAAGTCCGGGCTATTCTTTTTTTGCCATTGACCCCTAAATTTATTCACTCTCACCCAAGGCACCATAAGACTTAAATCAATATATTGTGAAAAAAGAAATGTTATAAATGTTTAAAATATCTGGAAAATATTTTGTTTTTGTTCCATTATATTATTACATTTATTTATTTAGTCTAATCTTATTTTTATTATTTGCTTATTTTAACATTTCTTTCACGGTTTTTGTGAAGAAAAAATTATAAATGTTTAAAATATTTGGGAAATGTTGTTTGTTAAATATCATTATTACATTTTACCCTTCTCACAGTAGTACTTTATTGTTCGATGTATTATTTATTTACATTTTTATTTTTTTAATCAAATATTTTATTTTAAATATATATTTTATTTAGTCTAATTTTATTTTTTATTCAAATCAAATATTTTATTTTAAAAACATTTAGTCTAATCTTTTTTTTTTTTTTTTTT